GGGGCTCTAGTGGGGAGTTTTAGGCAGTTCCCTTGCTCCAGGATCAACAAGAATGGGCAGGATCATGGAGGTCAGGGTTATTTCTTTAGCTGTCCTGTCAGCCAGATTATTTCCCTTCTGGGTGGGGTTGTTTCCTTTTTGGTGACCCAGGCAGTGGATTATAGGTAGTTTTGTTGGGCCCCAGAGGGCTTACAGGAGGTCTAAGATCTCTATCTCTTGTTTATTTTTAATAGTCTTTCCCTCTGCAGTAAGAAGGCTCCTGTCTTGATAGATGGCCCCATGGATATGGGCAGTGGCAAATGCATATCTGCTACCTGTGTAGACGTTGAGTTTCTTTCCTTTACCTATCTTTAGGGCTTTGGTAAGCATGATCAGTTCAGCTTTTTGGGCCAATGTACCTATTGGCAGTGGCTTGGCCCAAATGACTCTCAATGTGGTTGTGGCTGCTCCTCCAGCATGCCTTTTACCATTTCTGATGAATCTGCTTCCATCCATGTACCAGGTTTCTTCGGTGTCAGGCAAGGAAACATCCTTCAGGTCAGGTCTGATGCAATGCACCTGTGCCAGAATTTCAGTACAGTCATGGAGTGGGTCCCCAAGATCGGGATCTGGCAACCAAGCGTGGCTGGGTTCAGGGTCATTGGTACCTGGAAGGTGATCCTGGGCGGATTTAGGAGCAGAGCCTGATAATGAGCTAATCGAGCATTGCTCAACCATTGATTGGGGGGTTGCTTGAGCACCCCCTCGAGGGCATGAGGGGTTGCCACAAGCAGGTCCTGTCCCAGGGTTAACTTGTTAGCATCCTTAACCAGCAGGGCCACTGCTGCTATAATTCACAGGCAGGGGGGCATCCAGCTGCTACAGGGTCTAATTTCTTTGATAGGTATACAATAGGTCTCTTCCAGGGGCCTACTCTCTGGGCGAGGACCCCTTTTGCAATACCCTTATGTTCATCCACATATAGACAGAAAGGTTTACTTATGTCTGGTAGTCCTAGGGCAGGGGCCACTAAGAGCTTGAGTTTTAGGGTTTCAAAGGCCTCTTGCCTTTCCTGTGTCCAGTTGAAGTCCTGTCCTTCTTTGGTAGCCTCATATAGGGATTTTGCAATTTCAGTGAACCCCAAAATCCAGAGGTGGCAGAACCCTGCAGTACCCAGGAATTCCCTCACCTGTTTTCTGGAGGTCAGTGCAGGTATCTTACTGGGTCTTTCTCAGCACTCCCAGTTCCATTAATCTTCTGATATGTGGAGTAATTCCACGTTTTGCCTCTAGGGGCATAGGATACTGGTGCACTTTAACAGGATCTGGCCCTGCTTTGAGTTCAACATATACAAGAGGCCTGTGTTCTGCCAGACCCATACCCCCTTTCCTGCCCAGGCTTGGGGAAATTTTTAG